ATGTTTTTATGTTCATCGTAGACTTCAACATAAAAATTCTGTACTTTTTTTTAGTTAGCATTTAGTGGTGAATATCATGTTTTTAACAACACTCATGTATAAAGCAACAGATATAAGATTGTTGTGTTTTAATTACCATCACTGGTGTGATCAGACATTGATAATGGGATCACAACTCAATTATTAATGATGAAAAACATGTATTCTGAAAATAGGTGCCTAAAATGGCACAATGTACTAACGAGCAGGAAGCTGGATACATTCTTAGGAGAAGAGAAACTCCCAAAACACAGGAATAAAAATAGTTATAAGGCGCAGGTTAGGTCAGGTATTCTAATATGTTTATGTTCATTGAAAAGATAATCAATTAACATTTTATTCCGCAAGACCCAAACTGGTATAGATATGATAACTAAGTCACAACAAGAGACCTCTGGAGCATCAAGGGTGTGAGGTCCCTGCACAGATCAAACTCTAAGGTACAACACTGTAAACTCAGCTCAACACTGAAACAGGGGCATATAAAACATCACAGTGTCGGACAGAAGCTTCCTAATTAACAGAGGCCGGAGCCTTGAGATGAACAAAGGCAAATATACAACCTATGATGATCAACAGATGCCTTCTTGTATGCGAGGTAATATTTGACGAGATGTTTTTTTTTCTCTGAATCAAACTGATGTGTTTCCAGACAGGAGAGCAGAGGTGATCCATTCATCCAGTGAGTTCCTCTGTTCTTCATTTTGCAAAATAACCAAGGTACGAGTGGCCACGGACAGTTTTATCCACTCATTTAGACCTCGTCAGATTTTTGTTTTTTCCAGTGTTGTGCATCCATATCATTTGGAATGCATTTACCATGTGGTACAGTGCACAATATACTGTATATCTACATGCTCCGTACCAGTGTAAATCGTCCTTTTGTTGAATAACTATTCCTCCATCTCTATGGTAACAGAGGGGTCTTGGTCATCAACTGGAATGAGACACAAGAAATTTCAGCATGTAAATGATTATTTTCTTTCAGAGCTTGTTTGTCACTGATTCAGCTCATTTAGTAGTTAACCACCAGGTGGTAGCAGAATGTTATTGTTGGAGTCTAAACGAGGCTAACTGTTACACAGCTCACTGTGCAGATGTTTGGTTTGACTAGTGTAGAACATTCAATTCACTTAATAAGTGAAGTAAACTCTTCATGTTCAAATATCTTAGCAGGTAATGATAAAGTCATGTCTTCCGTTTTCGATCATCAGAGATCCTAAACCACTACTGAATGTACAATGATATAAAAACAGAGCAATTATTTACACGTTCTTGCTTGATGAATTATTTAATCTGGATTCTACTCGATCAAAATCATGGCAGCACTTGTTTAATCAGGAAATGCATTTTGTTTCATACTGTCTATGGTGAGTCAAGACCGCTCAGCAATCTTCCATATTTTGAATGGATAATATCTTGTAGTAAAACATTTAACTGTCAAATTTACAGAGGTCAAACTCTCTTCAGACTCAGATGCTACTGACAAATTTGGTTCAGGCACACGTCCTGGTTGATATTGCAAATACTGTTCAACCTTATGACTTGAATGAGCAATAACGTGTGTTTAGTAAGTATTTGTATTACAGGTATTAAAACAAGTGTGTGGAAGAAGAAGATATGGCAAATTTAAAGTGACTCACCCAAGCTTACTTCCTCAGAGCCATCATCTGACTCCTCCCACATGTCCTCACTAGCTAATAGGGGATTCTGGGATTCAGAACTCCGATTCTTCAAGGGGAAGTAGTGGCCGTTCCCTTGGCTGCCATGTACATTGTGCAAAAGAATATGGAGGTTAGTTAAACAGCTATGACCAACACCTCAGTCTACATCTAGTTCATTAGTGCCAACACTGTTTTGATGGTTTTAATTATTATGGGCATTTTTTATTTTATCTGATATTTTTATATATTTCTGTTCACTCATAAAGTAAGTCTAAAGTACAAGTGGATACCAAATGAAAAATGAGAAGGGAAAGGAGAATCAGGTGATTATGCATCTTAGCTCACCTTGTGAAGACAGGGATGAACCACAGTCTCCGATCCTCTCCAAATACCTGCAGCAGGTTTTTGCGTATGCTGACATTAAAACCATTTCTGTCTGGTCCATTGACAAAAACTGGAGCTGAGAAGGCCTCTAGAAAAAGGAGAAACAACCGTGGGTCACATTATGTTTGAATGCTTCAATTCTCCTCATCTGCTTTTACAAAGAACAAACAACAAAAAGAGAGCTTCAGCAGATAATTCACATGTGAACAACTTACTCAGCAGAATCTAAAGACCTTAATTCAGGTAAATATGTTAACCCTCACCTAGAGTTGATCTGTTCTTGGCCACCAACCAACAGTGGTAGCCAAAGAGAAACATGAGACTGACGAAAAACATGAGCGCCACAAACATTAGGAAGAGGACATGGAACTTTGCGGGCCTGTTTGGCAAGTCCCCCTGAAGGAGAGACACACAAGTAAAAACTTGAGAAAATGGTTGTTTTTAAAAAAATAAATAAAAAGGGTGTAACTCATGACAGAGTGTGAAGTTGTTGTCTGTTCTTGTGCAAGTGCCATCGTGGTGATCATGTACAACCACAATGTGTCATATGATTGCTTTATCTGATGCTGAGCATGAGACTAATGACACTCACCCCCCAGAATTTGAGGAAATACTGAAAGACTGTCGCTGCAATGAATACACAGTACACCATGGAGTAGGAGAGGAAGAGCAGGAAAAACTTGTAGTTGGAAAAGCCCACACAGTTGTTAACCCTGAAAGACAAATTAAGTTTGGTGTCAGAGCAAAGTTAATACATGAATATATCCTAACTAGGGCTGAGCAATACAAAAATATAAATAATTATCGCATTATAATTTTCATACATAGCAATATAACAAAAGTCCAATACATCATATATATAATGTTTATGCAACAATTTTTAAAATGTTTAGATTTTTTTCAAAGTATTTGTCATTCTCTGATCATAAAAAAGAGCTTAAACCCACAACCTTCACCCAGGAGCAATAATCAGTCTTTAAACTTAATATATATTAAAATGTGACATTTATTTTGATAAACATCATGATCAACTGATATGAACATTTTTGTTTAGGTATAATTTTGGGTCATATTGCCCAGCTCTAATCATAAGAAAGAAATACAGGCTCAGTTCTTACCAGGGACAGTGGTGGTCCATCTTCAGAACGCATCTATAAAAGAAAAACATTAAACACTGGTTCAAAAATGCTAAGGACTAATATCTCGATACAATTTTGCACATCAAAAATCTCTTCTTTCATTTTGACTTTCAACTGATCCATCTTTACAGTGTCTGCTAATTCCTTTTGGTAAACCACTCTGATTGTTCTGATTGATGGAAGGAATAGGAATATTCTTTCTCAGAGATTGCATGTGAGCAAAGCAACACCTTCTAATTATCACAGAAGTCCCTGGCCAACAAATATCTCATTGCCTGGGCTAATCTCTCTCAGCAAGTGGATTGGGGAGGAGAGGGTGACTTACGTTTCACAAACCGAGCAGTGGTGACAGCGGTCAGGCTTCAGTACCTGGCAGCGGTCGCAGAACCTGATAGCTGGAGACAAGAGGATGGTCAGTTGAAAGAATGACATTTGAGCTGAGCTTACCCTCCACTTACTTCCTGCAGCCTCAATCTTGGTCTTAGCAATCAGCGCTAATGAAAGAGATACATTGACTGATTACTCTGGATGGGGATGCTCAGGGACACAGGCACATACACTCACACAAAGCTAATTGTTCTCTCCTACTTGCTTTCATTGAACACAGATTACGTGCAAAATAACAGACTGTTGCTAATGCACCTGCCCTGTGACCCCAGTGGTTTGGAGATATGACAGAAAAGTGAATAATGTGGCAGTAAAATATAGACCATTGGACGGGATAGTCTACCTCCGGATTGCGCTCGGGTGAAGATGGGCAGTTTCTTAGCAATTTCAACCAGGATTTGCTTCTGAGCGTCCGGCCTCTCCTCCATCTCGTATCGTTGCTTGTCCGAGTACGAGAGCTGGAACTAGAGCAGCAAATATTTAACCATGATAAACAGCACATACAGACTTTACTCACTGCTCAACAGCTAAATCACATTTAGTCCAGGCTACCTTTTTGCATGGTGAAGCAGGAGGGGTAAAGATGGACTTCCAGTAGGTCCAGGAGAACATCACGAAGCAAACATGAAATACCAGTAGATAGACCACTGCAAGCAATAAAACACCAGTCACAATCATGCACACATATGTCACTGCAGCATAAAAGTTCACTGGTTGTCAACTTCCTTCTGAGCTTGAAGCACAAATAGCGAGTGTCTCACCTTTTTCCACTGTGTTGGTTAATGTAACTGTAAGAAACCAAGCACATGACAAGGTAAAGGCACGGGGTAGATGTCCGAGACAAGATACAGCGAAGCTATGTGTCTTTGTTAACAATAGTTTATTCAAAAGAGAACAACATTTAGTGGCTAACACGACTAGCTAGATTTAAAGGCTCAGAAACCAAACAACCGGCCTTTCTATGAATAAACAGTCAACGCCGACATAACAGCGGTGACGATAGGGTCACTTTCAAAAAGCTAAAGCTCACGATAAAGCATTTACGAGCACACACCCTGGACTTCACTTCCGCCTGCTTAGCTAGCCCCCCGCTGTCTACAACGTAGTTGTATGTCAACACTGCTGTGCGGCAAGATGCGGCGTCCACTGTAAAACCACAACAACGTCCAACAGACACCCGCAGCTTCGCGCACTTACACAGACAAAGCTCAAAGACGTAGGCGTAGTAAGACCACAGCACCACGGAGGCGATGATAAGCACAGGAATCCAGGAGAAAACCCTCTGACAGCATCTCAGACCTCTGGACAGAGCCATGTTCCATCTCACCGCCGCGCGCATCTGACATCGACTGCCAGGCCTGGGATTCATCCGTCAGCCGCTTCTGGGAGCGATTCACCGCACTGACCGCAAATAGACCGCCCTCCTGGTGGGACACGATGAGTAATTTATTATGAGTGATTTTATTACAGTGTGAAAGCAAGAAGACTTTTAATGTTATGGATTTATCATTATATATATTATTATAATATTATTTATTAAGTATTGACTGTAGAGTTTGGTTTATTGACAACAATGTGATGCAATTATTAAACAAGAAAAATCCTGTTCAATCAATTCAATTATGTGTGTTTCTATAAGATGTGAATTCTCTATTGTGAGCAGTTACTGTACTTTAGTAAAGTGCAGATACAAGAAAAATGTTTCTTTTTTAGGTATTTTTTCCCATGATGTATATCAGCATATATCTGTACTCTCCACTCCATTTTTTCAAAGCATTGTTTCAGTTCAGTTTCAAGTTTTATTGAACTCAGCTTGGCAATGCAATAAGAGGAATGTCTTATAGAGAATATAAAGTCAGAAAAAGAGGGAAGAACTTTGAAAATCTAAATAAAGCAAAAGAGCTCAATATATAAAATATCACATACACTACTGTTTAGATTAGAGCCATTAGAAATATGGATGGATGGACGATGGGAGGGAAGGAGGGAGTAATTGGGGGTTTGGAGGAATGGTTGTCTATTGGTGTCAGGGGGAGCTAGGGATTGAAACACAAACCCTACAAATAATGGCGAAAGCTTCAGCCTCCGAAGTGAGGCTATAGTCACATGAGTCCTACATGCTCCAGCCCATAGGAAACAATATCTAATCATTACATTCACTTCAAATGCACGCAAGTCATGTCAGTCATCTTAGCAAGGACAAGGAGCAAGTAAGAAGTTAGACACAAACTCAACAAGAAAAGCAGGAATAGCTTGATTAACTAGTAATGTGACACAGTGTGACACAGGTGACACTGAAACTTGGCAGGAAAAGACAAAAAGCAGGTGAGTGATTTGAAAATGCAGGAAAACACCCACAGAAGAGTCACATGAAGATTTTCTTGTCACATAATATTTCAGTCGTACAAGATATTTATGATATTGATTCAATATGAATAAGAGCTGATGAGCAACATAGGTCACCAACTGGACCTGAACCAGGGATTGATTTAATTTTAACAGAGCTATTTTTTCAATTAAGAGCTCTTGTTTACTCGTGCGCTTGATGTGTAGGTTACATGACCAGCTGCATATTTCTCTGCAAAACCTCTGCAGGCCACACACACAAACAAGACATTGCATAATTGTTTTGACCTCCCAAGAGCTAAATTAGGTCAGAATTCTTTTAAAGTGAGCCTGGAACGCTGCTGCAGTTAATCAGCTCTTTAACATAAAGAATAAAGTTCACCCTGTCGCTCAGTCAATGACATCATCTGGGGTTGTTTTGCATTTGAGTTTAATGTGATAATTTAGCACAGACGTACATCCCGGACCTCCTCAATTTCCACAGATTGCTGGCAAAAACGTTCAGATTTGAGTGGATTCAAATAAACTCTTCAGATTCTATGGGTTCATGGTTCTGCAGCAACAAACAGTAACTCGATACACCAGAGGAAAATAGAATTTAAAAAGAAAAGAAGAGAAAGTAGTTACCACACAAGTGACAAATTCAGCACTTTGACATTACAGGACTTTATATGACCCATCTGTACTCTAGTGAAGATGTGTAAAGCAACAGTAGTAGTATCACTGACATCACAATTGTCATTTGTACATTATTTTAAACTAGAAATACATCACAGAAGTTATATACAATTTCTTCAGACTCATACGAGGACACTGTCACCTTTGACATTTGACTCTTGAAATAAGATAAATTCATTTTTGAGTTAAACTGAAGACTGGGCAATTTTGAAGACATCTCCTAAAGGTAGACTTCAGATATGAAGAAGACAAAAACATGTTTTGTAAGGCTGCTGTGACCCTGACATTTGACCACCCAGACCTAATCAGTTCATCTGTGAGTCTAAGTAAACATTTGTGCTGAATTTGAAAGGACTTTCTCCAGACATTCTTAAGACTTTATGTTCAAGAGGCAAAGATGTAATGAAATTCCCTTCTAGTGTTCCTGATATATCACGTTAACAAGAAAATGAGGTCACCGTGACCCTGAATCGAATCAGGTTATTGTGGAGGCCACGTGAACGGTTGTACCAAACCTGAAGACATTCCCTCAAGGTGTTACTGCGATGTTCCCTTCACAAGACCAAAAATTGTTCTGTAAGGTTCCAGTGACATTTGACCAACCGACTCTAATCTTCGAGTCCAAATGAGCGTGTTTATCAAATTTGAAGAAAATCCTGCAAGGCATTATTGAGATATCGCGTTCACAAGAAAAAATGACGTTTCCATCAATGTATTGGACAGAGATGTGTTAACGACAGTGTTCTGCACATGAGCTGTGTATTGCAGTGCAAAGCAGTGTTTGTATCTCCAGTATCAGCGGCTCCTGTTCCCTGTCAGACTCCGGGTGAGGCTGTTTGGTCGGAGAGGGCTGAAGCTGTGATTGATATTTGCACAATGGCTTTCTGTCACACCTTCGAGGTCTGAGTTGGAGGCTGCAGGTGCTCCATGCATCAGCTCATCACAGCGGAGGTAAAAAAGATCATGTGTTCCTGCCAGCAGGGTGTCAGGTTCCACCAGCCTTCTCAATAGTCTGTTTATCCTGTTGTCCCCCCAGTCTCCATACTACCTCCTCTGAACACCAAAGCTAATGATACTCGAGGACCAACTGATGACATTGTACTGCAGCCACTGCCTGTTCCAGCTTCTTGTTCTCAGTGCCACAGTGTTGTGGTCATGTGTTATCATTTTATTTGGAGGAGCGTTCAACTATGTTGGGATGTCACTACGTAGATTTCATTACAGTTTTCAAATTTTTTGTAACATTTTCATATATACATATATATATCATATTTAGGGGACTGATATCTATGAGTGTTTGATTTGGTGTAGATCCAAATAAGTGAATAATCTTGTGAATTTAAATTTCTCAGTTCTCTGAGCACTATTCTTGTGTCTGTGTTCACCTCTGGGACAAACAAAATCAACAATGCATGCACTGTGCTGACACCACCAGTAGAAGGCAGTGTGAGATTGCAAAACTCAATGATGTGCGTACTTTCCATCTCAAACAATCATCTAATCAGCTTTCAATCTTAAAGTTAAACATAATACAACTAAAGGCCAGCACTAGTTTTGATACCTGCATCTAATGAGTGTTGAACATCAAGGTTTCCAATTTGGTTTGTCTCAACATAACTCTCCTTTCTGTTTAATAGGAACAAAAGAGAGACACTGATTTTATTCTAGGAGGACCAACACATCTGATGTCACTATCAGCACCGATTTCTGCTAAAGAACAACTCTCATTTATAATGAAACACATCAATTTCTCCCCCCAACCCTTCAGAGAGATGCTGTTTCACAAGTTCACTTCATTTGTTCTGCAGATTTATGGCACGGCGTCATCCTCTGACGTGGCCGTCCAACACATTGCATAGAAACCACTGTTATCGTCTCCCCATTACTGAAACCTGTGAAACCTTTCATCATGTCAAGGGACCTGCGAGTCACTCTAGCATTTAACCGTGGACTCCGACAGCCCAGCAGGCCTGTCCATCACACGCTGCTTAGAGAGGTTCAGTGTGCTTCACTGTACACCCCCACTCCTCTTTACGTAATGCAGACCCTCTTCTGGGACAGGGGTGTGAGGTGATCAGCACCTAACACTGACCTCCTCTCCTCCATCACATGTGTTCTCTCCCCTCTGTCTGTTGGCCTACTCCTTTCCCTGACATCTTCTCCCACCTCACATCGTCAGCCGCTGACTCTCCATCCAGCTCCTGCTCTCTTTGCCCCCCCCCCCTCCTTCCTTTCTCTTCAGGCCTCAGTGTCGGCAGCCGGGCGATGACAGCTCCTCTCTCATTCAACCGCTCACTAGAGGCAGGGAGCGGCTATCCATCCATCAGCACGGCAGCAAACCCCTCCACTACAAAGCCATTGTGACTAGCAAAATAGTAACGGCCTTTTAATCAAAACATTTACCCCGTGTAAAAATAAAACACAAACAGCTCATATCAGCAGGTCGAGGCAGAATCCTCGTCTAAGAGGTGCGTGTGTGTGTATGTGTGTGTAAGTCTAGAGTGTTGGAGGCATTCCATGCCGCCCTGGTGGTAGTCTGCAAACAGACAGTGGGGCTGGAGCAGAGCCCGTTTGAAGAGAAGTCATGCGTGGCTGCGGAATAGTGCAAAAGTAACCAAGTTTACACTGCACCACCATGCAGGGTTTTTAACCAGCGAGAGCACAATGGCAGATGCAATCCAATGTTATTTGAGTTTGCACTTGGGCTGCTGCTCACTGTTATGCCTTGAAGATGAAGTGGCACTTTGAGTGTGCATTTCATTTGACCCCTGAGACTCTCATGTCACGCAATTGTGCTCTGCAGTCACGGTTGGTTCAGGGAAAGCTGATGATGCTAAGCACTTGGGAGGGTGATTCATTTGGGGAGGTGTGCATGTGAATGTGTGTGTGTATGTGTGTATGTGTGTGTGTGTTTGTGTGTTTGTGTGTGTGTGTGTGTGAGGAAAGGGAGTGGATATATTGCTTGTTTTTGTACGTCTATTTTTTGCAATACGGCACAATGATGCAACATTGACTTTGATAGGATTTCCATTTCATTCCCTGCATGCTTCAGTGTCTGGACAGGGAATTCATCGTGTGTACATCCGTTTGAAGTCAATATGGAGCACATATTGGAAAGTCTGCATTCAATGTCACATATTTCTATTGGTGTGTGTCCAGGTGATCAAAGAGTCACTGCACGAGTTGCCCACATTTAAACAAAAGGTATGTGTGCAAAAATCAGACACAAGCACAGGAGTAATTAGAGAGACAGACCAGTGCAAGAAAACACAGCTATGACTTTACAGAGCACAGTCTCACACGTCATTTGCAATTTAACTTAACACAAGGCAGAAAAAGACTTAATGTATTCTATCATTAACATATTAACACCAATGCATTG